ATTGAGTTGTATTTTTGTTATTGACCAAATACTTATTTTCCACCCTGATTTACGAATAAATTCTCTACAAATCCTACCATGTGGATTCATGGATTGTTTTTTCACATTCTGTCTCTCACAGTTGAAGTGTACCTCTGGTGCAAATTACTGACCTCTGTCATCATTTTAGGAGGGGGAACTTGCACAATCAGTGGCTGACTAAATACTTTTTTGCCCCACTGTATGTCCACTGTGAACGACCACCTTTGAACAAAGGCGGGGCTTACGACACCAACTGTCTGTCATCTATAATCCAGTTTTGAAATCCCTTCCCAGACGCCTTAACGCCCACTCACATCCTGGGCCTCAGGACCTCACATGATAGGGTGGGGCTAGGTTTCACTATGGGTTCACCCAAAACCTTGGGTGATTGTGACTCGCATCTGTTTTCACACCTTGGCTCGTGTGATTAGGTAGAGGATCAATAGGGTGTCCATGTCCCTCTTGGGGGACACTCCCATAGGGCTTAAAATCTGGGACTCTCCACCATTTGCTATTAGAACTGAAGAAGCTTCTCGGATAAGAGTTGAAACGTCTTCAAGAAACTTAAAGAAGTCCAGTCTACTCTTCACCTGCTTCATTGTCACTGTGTGGGTGAAGCTGCCTGAGCCCTGCCCATACAGAAATGAGAGAAAAACAAGTCCCAGTTTTTAAAAGCTCCGAACTTCCAAATAACAAAACCAAAGAAGAAGAAAACACACTTTACCATGAAGATCCTCAGTGTGGATCAGTATAATATCAGCCTGATGTCTGTAGTCTAGTGTCAGCACAACTTTCACATCATATTCATCTCAGCACAACTAAAACATGGTGACTGACCTCAGAGTTTCAAGTCCACATCCTGGACTCTCCAGAAAACGACACAGCTGCTTCACCCCTGAATCCTGGAGGCTGTTCTTACTCAGGTCCAGCTCTCTCAGATGGGAGGGGTTGGACTTCAGTGCTGCTGCCAGATAATCACAGCTGATCTCTGACAAACCACAGTGCTTCAATCTGTATAAAGAATGAAAAAAGTAAGTTTAGTACACAAATTTTGTGCTTGAAATCATTCAGTGTTTCATAAACTGTTCAGAACTGAAGAAGGTTCAGAATGTAGAACTTTAGAAAATGGAAACTCCAAACAGCTGAAGCCAACAGGAAGCAGCTTCAAACAAACACAAGAGAAAATTTGGAGAAAAAAACTCTGAATTTTATTGATTTATACAGCGCCAAATCACAACATCAGTTGTCTCAAGGTGCTTTGATTTTAAGGTAGACCCTACAATAATACAACTGAGAAAACCCCAACAATTTTATGACCCCCTATGATCAAGCGCTTTGCGACAGTGAGAGGGAAAAAGTCCGTATTAAAGAGTTGGGATTGGGCGGGACCAGACATAAATATAAGTTATGCTTGAATGCAGAGACGTGTTTAAACACATAGTGAGTGAGAAACACTCAATGAATCATGGGAATAAATGCAGTAATAAATGCATGAACAAGCTTTTTAGCATCTCTCAATAACATCTCCCGAAATAGCAATATGTCGGATGACATCAAATATGTCATCCAACATATTTGTTTAATATGTGCATTGAAGGACATATCCTGGTCAAAAATTACTCCAAGGTTCCTGACAGTGTTAATGGAGGCTAAGGTAATGCCATCCAGAGTAAGAATTTAAGATGGTGGCGCAGACTGCTCTCCGTCCCGACAAAACAGTGTTCCTGTCTTTGTTATGCTCTTTTTCACAAAAATGCTCTTACAGTTGTGAGCTCCTGCTCAAAATCAACAGAAGCAAATCCACAAACTTTTCACACATGGAAGAGCTACGAATCACACTGAGGAACTGCACACTGCTTCGGAGGCATCTATCATCAGCGGCCCCCGCTACTAGATCTCGCTCACTGTGGAAACGTTTCAGGCGGTGCGAGAGGAGACAGAAGTGGGGTAAGTGCGGAGGCATCTGGAGTAGGCTAGCGACTAATCCACACAAACCCACTATTCCCACCATCGTACTGTCCAAAGTGCGCTCCTTGGACAACTGGATCATGTACGCTTACTTCAGTCCACTTTGAAGTCAGTGAGGGAGTGGGGCTTAACAATAACATTCCCAACAGTGCCATTCAACTCAACTGGCTAACGGGCATACAGAGCTCTTGCTGAAGGGGATAAGGCTCGCGGAGGGGGACTCTGTGTTTACACCAATGCCTGGTGTCGTGACGCTGTTGTGACTTGCAAACACTGTTCAGCTCTGCTGGAGCTTATGATCATCAAGTACAGACCGTTCTACCTACCGAGGGATTTCTCAGCCATATTGACGGACAGGAAGCAGCATGTGAGGCTGGGGAAGAATGTCTCGGACTCCCGGACCATCAGCACCGGCTCCCCTCAGGGCTGTGTTCTTTCCCCTCTGCTCTTCTCCCTGTACACCAACTGCTGCACCTCCACCCACCAGTCTGTCAAGCTAATCAAGTTTGCAGATGACACCACCGTTATTGG